TATATATATAAAACTTTAGACCAAGGACCTTACAACAAGTTACTGAATAAACTCCTTGGTTTAGACTCACACGTGATGAAGTTTTTCAGCATCAGTGGTTGGAATCTCCGAAGAGAATGTGTGCAATGTGCCAAAATTTTCTCCGAACACCTCAAGTACTCCGCTCTGCTAACATAAGTGAGGCAGCGTGGTGGAATCAGGCTCTGGTCAAAATAATCAAAGTGAGGAAACATGCATTTTTCCACAGGTTTGTGAATTTTTAAAATTTAACTTTTGTTTTTTTGACTCAACACCTTTCATGCCCATTAGAGAAATCACTTCTGTGAGGACTTTTCTGAAAAACGTTGATTAAAGGTACAAAAAATGTAAATTTTCAGTTACCTCGGACTCTTAAGCTAAGGAAATAATTTATCTTTGGTGGACATTTTCTCACTAATTTTACCTCTGAAAACAGGTGACCCCCACATCCTTCATTCGCAAATATCTCAACTTGTATTCAAGATTGATTTTTTCCCCCATCCAAATAAAGACAAGTGAACAAGCTTTATGATGGTACCAATAACCCTACATGCCCAAAAATTGACGAGAGCCTGATTCCACCTGAGTTCTTTAATGGGCATGAAAGGTGAGGAGCAAAAGAAACAAAAATTTGATAAAAATTCACATATCTGAGGTAAAATGCAAGTTTCTGCACTTTGATTATTTTGACGAGAGCCTGATTCCACCATGCTGCCTCACAATTAATGTTTTCTTTGAATAAGAGAGACGAAACAGTGCGTGGAAAAATGATGCTGGCATTATATTATTATCCCAAGATCAGTGCACGTTGAAGTTGAGTCAACGCAATCGTGCAACATGCAGAGACAGTGTCTGCGGTAGGATTGTCTCCCAATCGTACAGACATGATATATATATATATCTAGATAGATATATATATATAGATATATATACATATGTCATATAAAGGCGAGTTCGGGTTTGGATCCAGTGAGAAAACATACTTTATCGAGTATTTCCATCTTACGAATACTTCATAGAATTTAATTTGGCGCATATCCTCACTCAACATGACCAGCAAGTTCCCAGCGTATTACATAATTATATCACCCCCTAAGATAGCATAAATCTCGGCTTTACGGGAAGTATACAGTGCAAACAGCTGATTAAGCGCTCCGACGGTAGAGAGAGAGAGAGAGAGAGAGAGAGAGAGAGAGAGAGAGAGAGAGAGAGAAGGAGAAAGACTGACAGGTTGGGCAGAGAAGAAAGGCAGAGGCAGATACTGGGGGAGACGGGATGCTAGTACAAAGCAAATATTGTCCATCTATTGCTTGTTTCATTGACAGTGTACCAAAGAAAAAGAGAATCTCACCTTGCACAGGTAATTATGACCCTTCAAAATCTCAGTAGCTTGAAATCTTCCAGGGAAAAACTGTATTCTGCAGTGCAACTGTTTTAGACTTTCATGCAAGGAAGAGGCTAGCCGTACTTAATGACCTATAGAATGAGAGGCAGACACCTTACCTCTAAACCGTTAGAGCCCCCTCCAAAGACTGACCATTTACAAAAAATAGGCCTACTGAATTGTAAATTTACATTTTTAGTGTGCAGTACCTAAAGTATTTGTATTTGAGACGAAACCAGGTGCCTAAATGACAGTGCATGTATTTTAAACCTCCTGTTTTCTAATGTTAATAGGGCCTAAGATAAGTACGGCTAGCCACTTCGTTCATGCAAAACCAAGATAAACCTGTTGAAAGCAAAGAACTCTGTACTTGTGGGCGTCTTAAATCAAATACAGCGATTTGGTAAATATACAAACTTAACATTTCTTAATTTAAAACAAGATTGTTAACAAATGGAAGTAAGTGAAGTTCATGTGTTGATGTCGAACATAAGTCAAGTTCATGTGTTGATGTCGAACATAAGTCAAGTTCATGTGTTGATGTCGAACATAAGTCAAGTTCATGTGTTAATGTCGAACATAAGTCAAGTTCATGTGTTGATGTCGAACATAAGTCAAGTTCATGAGTTGATGTCGAACATAAGTCAAGTTCATGTGTTGATGTCGAACATAAGTCAAGTTCATGTGTTGATGTCGAACATAAGTCAAGTTCATGTGTTGATGTCGAACATAAGTCAAGTTCATGTGTTGATGTCGAACATAAGTCAAGTTCATGTGTTGATGTCGAACATAAGTCAAGTTCATGTGTTGATGTCGAACATAAGTCAAGTTCATGAGTTGATGTCGAACATAAGTCAAGTTCATGTGTTGATGTCGAACATAAGTCAAGTTCATGTGTTGATGTCGAACATAATTGCCCACGTAAAAGGAGAGCAATTAATATTGCCCAAAGCTCTTTTTTGTGTGTTTTACGGCGCTCGCAACTGCATAAGGTCATATACACGATCGCGCGGGACACACTAATATTTTCAATTAGTAGGAAATTTTGTATTTAGCCGAAGCCTTTATACTCTTTATCAGTTTTGGACCATCAAGGGATCTTTAACATGCAAATTGCACATGAGACCTTCGAGATATTTCGCTCTTATCCGAGAAGGCTAGGTGTTAGATTTTACCTACCAGAAGATCAGGGGTGTGGCTGAAAGACAGCAGTAAGAGGGAGTCAAGGAGTAGCAGTAGAAAGGCTGCAGAAAGAGTCCGGAACCCAGAGGAGGGGGCAAAGGAGGTGAGGGGGTAGGGGCAGAAAGAGGAGATGAAAGCAGACGATAGAACATTGATAGAGAGCAGGAAAAAATGTGAAAGGAGAACATTTTAGAGAAGAAAATTTTCCATTGCTATCCGGATTCGAACCCGGGACCTATAGAATGAGAGGCAGACACCTTACCTCTAGACCACGAGAGCCCCCTTCAAAGCTCTACATTGCCAGTGACATAAAAGATCTGAAAATATGGTCAATGTAATGCTTTATTTTTTTCTTGACGAATGAAAATGTATAAAATTACAAGATCAGCAAATGCATATATGAATTAGTTTAATGGTACAGAATGTCAATGGTAAAAAATAGACTTTGTAACAGTCATTCTCATCACTTTTGAATTATGTTTTTTGTACAAGTCATGAAATATAAAATTACTAGAAAAGAAGAATATAGAACAAAAACACTTTCCATGAGAAAACAACCTACAGCATCGAATGCAGTGGATCAAGTCAAAGGACAACTCAAATCATAACGCTTCACATAAATATCTACTCTAAGGTATCGTGTAAGCGCCCCCCCCCCCCCCTATTAACTTTCAGATCTTTCGCGCATCTCCCGCTCCTTATCCCGTTCCCCCCTCCCCCGTTTATTATTTTCCAGCTCGCCACAACCGACCATCATGTGAAACATATCTGTAATCTAGATATCTGAATTAAACTTCTTTTTTGGGGGGGTAAATGACAAATTACCCTTAATATTATAGTACCGGTACCGGGTTGGCTACCTCAATTTTCTGAGCATTTAAAAAAAACTTTTGTACATTGATTTATATCTTTTAATGAAAGTGGTTTGTTTCTAAATGAGAAAAGTTGTCCCAGTCACTTACTAAAATCACTAAAATTTCATGATCTTTTGTTCTTTTATTCACTGAAAGAGAAACAAAACAGATTTATTCCTACTAGTACAGGGGTACGAGGTTGAATGTGCCACCCCACTCTCCTTTTATAACAACCCCCCCCCCTAGTTTATTAGTTTTGTACCACTTGTCCCCCCCTTTTTATTCGATACCTTAGACTATGGACAGACTATCAGTAAGTCAAGAGGACTAAAATGAGAGCAAGTTTTCAATACCAGTCAAGACAAAAACCCATATATGAGATTGATTCATTTTCAATCTCACAGGACAGATCAATGTTGTTCAGTTTCTTTGATTTCCTTTGTCTCTCTTCAAACAAAGAAGTTAAGCAGTAATAAAAAGTATGTATATATTTGCCTCGCTTTTGATTTTAAAAGTATCTATTTAATTTGAACAGAAATTGATATTTACGATTGAAGGAGGTCGGTGGGGGTCACCTGGTGTCTGAGGCAAAATTAGCCAGACAATAGCTGCCAAAGTTTAGTGACATCCAAAGCTTTCAGTGTCCTAAAAATTGCGAAATTGGCGTAAACATGTAAATTTCTTTGACTGCAGTATTTTGATGAGCGTCTGATTTCACACGAAGTAATACACACACACACACACACACACACACACACACACACATAAATGTACGTATATACATACATACATATATAGTCCCACACACACATACCAAACATGCACATACACTAGCGCACACATAATGAACAGATTTTCAGGTCCTGAATTGTTTTCTTACATTTACATGTATAATTTTAGTATTTAAAACATATACACAGCAAAATTCGTACAGAACAAAGAGAGTTCCACATCCCGGAATGTGCGTGCTGGACAATATAATATTACAATTGGGCATTCCTTACCTTCTTGGACAAAAACTGGTAAAGACTACCAGATTCCCAAAAACTTATAATTAACGAAGTGTATACAGACCCGGTAACCGGGAATAAAATCGCAAAGTATACAGATCTGGTAGGGGAACTCTTTTGTGATGTCGGAAAGTTTCAGCGCCCAGACCCGGTAGTGTGTGTGTGTGTGTGTGTGTGTGTGTGTGAGCGAGAGAGAGAGAGAGAGAGAGAGAGAGAGAGAGACATCTAAAAATGTGAAAAACATTCCTCAAATGGATCAAAAGCATATATATAACTATGGAAATTTCTTGTTGCAAAAAAAACAACAAATAAAGCGAAAGCTGTGTTGACAGGCATATCTATTCGTCACAAATTTTTGTGGAGAAGTTCATCTTTAGTAACAATGATCAGAAAGCGCATTCCAATCGAACGTGAGAGGTAAAAAAAACTTCATCTTATGTAGATCCACCATTTGAGTAGTTACTATTCAAAGAGCAAAACTGCTTCATTGTTAGAGATAGTGCTTAGTTAGGCAGATGATGGGCACAGGTGGCCATGGATATTGTGCTTTCCTGAACAAAATCAGTCACTGACTTTCTTTCATCAGACCCTGGACATGAACACTCACCCCAGTTTCTGCACGGAGCACCCCCTGAAGTGGATTATGATAAAACAGGATGTAGATTAGGAAGATCCTCTTTCCAAGCAGGGTGCGGAGCAAAAAGTCAAGTCATATGTAAAAGTTTACACTCCTGAACTCCTGCATGTGGTTGAATGATGCATTTGATGTTAATGTACATTTTGTCAGCTTTACTTCTCCTTTCATATTGAATTTTAATGAGAGTACTATATATAATTTAAATTTTTTATGTATACCTGCATGTGTTTTTACGGTCCTGTACAGTCAAGGAAAATTTCCCTGTGGGATAATAAAGTACTATCTTATCTTATCTTATCTTTATGCGTCAAACTTATAATCAAAATATTGAGGATTCAATGCGCTTCTTGACTGGGAAGAGATTAAATCCATGGGAAACATTCTAGACCTTTATTTTTTCAGTTTAACTAGCCGTAAATGTGCGTTGTTGATCATATGAGATGAAAAGGCATGAACTATAGCTTTAGAGTACCCAACTTTACTTTACTTTTCCGATCCAGCGGCCATTTGGGTTCTAGCCCTTCGGTCTGTCGATATGGCAAAGAATTGACAGGTTTTAATCAGCTGTGCTTTGTTAGAGTACCCAAAAGGTACATGTAGTAAGTCCTTCAAATTGGAATGAACAGGCAGGACAAGAGGTCACAGTGAAGGTGTGTGAGTTTTTTTAATAGAAAAGAAATATGAGCACATACTATCACTGTAACCGTAACTAAAGAAGTAACATTATTTTCCATATTAGATGTAAGAGGGGAAAAAAATTCCCAGAAAGGAATGTAAAACACAGAAAGACAAAACATAATCACTAGTTGTATATGGCATAAATGGAACATAGCATGTAGGGCTTGAGCCTACATCTTTTAACCCTATCCGTATACCCTGGGGTTATTTTGTACCCCCGGGGTTGTATTCTTCACATTTTAAAATACTTCTAGTGCGAAGATCTCTTTGAAACTTTCAGTATTTCTCAAAAAATCATTTTGACGGACTGCTATGCTTTCCTCTTTGGAAAGTGGTGGCACAGAGTTCCCCACGTTGTATGGATACGATAGAAAAACATGACGTACCGATAGGGTTAAAATTAAAGTCATTAAAGCAAAGGGAAACATATCAGAGTGTAAAAAAAAGACAACAAGGCTGAATAATATTGATGAACATGTAGACAAAAGCACAATTCTCCATTACTACTATACTGGCACTCTGCCTTCCATTCAGTACACACTTTGATCATAGAAAACAAAAAATTATCACTTTGTCTTCACTGAATATTTACAAGAGCAAGTTATTGTACCGGACAGCAAACAAGAAACTACAAATTTCAAAGTATGGGAGGTAAAAAAATAATGTAACAACTATGACCCGAAAGGAATTAGATACAGAGCCACTGTCTGCAAAAGATTGTAAATCTACTTGACTCAAAATAGGTTTATCCTTAGGTTTCTGAGATGATACATAAACAGATCAGTACATTTTCGCTGTCACCGACTACTATCTGTTTGGGAACAAAAGCCTCTGCACTAGGAAACCAAAGAGCAGCAGTGTACATAAGACCGCCCCTGTGTGCAGCAGGGCTGGAGCTGTGTTGAAGTACGGGCAGTACGGGCACTGAAAGGAGCCACAGGCATAACAGATGCTCAACAGGAACAAATCCTGGGTGGTGTAGATCTTGGTCCTGTGCATGCCTAGAGAAAAAACAAACAAAACAAAACAATCGGTATCTTGCGAACACCGCTTCATTTGATTGTTTGTGTTGCGTAAAACCCCCCATTAATTTCCAATAACTGAACAACTCTTGTGAGAATTACTCTAGAATTTGGCCCATAGATAGGCCCCCTACACAAAACATGAGTAAAAGCACTCTTCTTGATCTGCTTCTTTAAGTAAACCACTTTGTTTTTGAAAAAATAAATGAAAAAATAATTGTATAACTCCTTCTTAGTTTAATTTTAGTAGAGATTTTACGGCGCTCGCAACTGCATAAGGTCATATGAGCGCCATATAACTCCTTCTGATAAAGTGTATGCTTATTTCTCACATAACTATCACTGAATAGAAGATGAAAAAGTGTTGATAAAGGGGCATACATTCAAATACTTTATTGGGATGTATTTTTTGCACACATCTTGAGCTGGAAACAGAAGGAATGAATCCAAACAGCTCAGCTTGAGATGGATTTTAAATGATCGTGCTCAAAACAAGAATCTCATATGTTTTACCCACTAACAAAACTAAATGAAAGTAAATTAATCTTACAGCACATCATGTTGCAACGGAACAAAGTGTCTTTTTTCAAGACAAAAATAATGTAAAATACCTGGTTCATAGTAGTCGTAGACTCTGAGCTTATGATCTCTGGTAGCATTAGCCACTGGGTACCACCTGTCAGCCCGAAAGAACACGCAGGTCTTACTCTGGTCCAGCTGAAATCACAAAGAAAGCGGGGGTCAACAGTTTTGTAGCTTAATAAAAGACACTGAGATAAGATGTCTTTCAGCCTGTAAACAACCAGCGCTTACTTCTTGCTTGCTATAAAAAATTCTTCCAAGTGTGTCTTCAGTCTGTGTTACTGTGTTAGAAAATGCTTTTGAGTCCCATTTTGCTTGATTTTCACTTTCTTGAGATGGATGCATCCAGATACTTATAGCATACCAGGAAAAACAGAGGCCCGCACAGTCCTGCAGTTGTGAAAGGTATATTGTTATATAAATATATCAACTCATAGAGTGGACTTTCTGATGTGCTCAACACACACACACACACACACACACACACGCACACGCACACGCACACGCACACGCACACGCACACACATAACACCAATTAACATATCTGCTGCATAAGGTGGATTTATGCTTTAGAAAACATGGTTCTGCTTTTTTTTACACTTCCGTAGGTGAGGCAGCGTGGTGGAATCAGGCTCTGGTCAAAATAATCAAAGTGAAGAAACTTGCATTTTTCCACAGGTTTGTGAATTTAAACTTTTGTTTTTTGACTCAACACCTGTCATGGCCATTAGAGAAATCACTTCTGTGAGGACTTTTCTGAAAAACGTTGATTAAAGGTACAAAAAATGTAAATTTTCAGTTACCTCGGACTCTTAAGCTAAGGAAATAACTTATCTTTGGTGGACATTTTCTCACTGATTTTACCTCTGAAAACAGGTGACCCCCACCTCCTTCATTCGCAAATATCTCGACTTGTATTCAAGATAAATGGATATTTTTTTTCATCCAAATAAAGGCAAGTGAACAAGCTTTATGATGGTACCAATAACCCTACATGCCCAAAAATTGACGAGAGCCTGATTCCACCACGCTGCCTCACATATACATCAGACTTGGACACAAGAAAGAGTCATTCACAATTGAAGGACTCTCTAATATCATGTTAAAAAAGGTGCAATGTGAAAATTCAGATAAAAAATATACCAAAAACAAGCTTGGTATGTCTTCTTAAATCTGAAATTTGACCTGTTGTTAAATTTACTTCTAGAATTTTTTCAACTTGTCATTGAAACAGCAAATTCTGAGAGAAGTTGTTAAACATGTGAGACACAGTGGCTGGAGTCCGTCTTTGGATCAGCATCAATATACTCTTCCGAATTTTGGAATTACTTGAATACAGCTTACTATGCAACACAGGGACTTACATTGCTACAATCAGACTACTAATCTAAAACAAATTAAAATTTGCTTTCAGGTGTGAATGGTCAGTAAGAGACAGGTGTTTTTTCAAAGATGATATTTCATACAAAATTACATGGCATGAACGGATGACAATACTGCCTGAGCTAAGCTGGCATGAAACATAAGACAATGTAAGTATTCGAATTGCAAACAAAGTGTAAAGAAAATAATTTTGCCAATAGTCTGTTTGTACGGATAATCTCCGTATCAGCAAGGAATATGGAACACACTGGCTTTTTCTGTCAATACACCTTTTAATATATTAGGTAATTGTGCGTATGCAAATGCAAATCCATGCCTGAGTGCTAGTGTGATTATATGTGTATGTGTGCAAGTGTGTGTTCGTGTATGTGTGTGTTCGTGTGTGTGTGTGTGTGTGTGTGTGTGTTAGTGCATGTGTGTTTGCATATATGTGTTTTTTTGTGTGTGTATGTGTGATGGCGCGCACATTTGTGGGTGTGCATATAATATGTGTACTTCCTTGTATGTGAATCTGAGTGCACGTACTGAAGGTGACTAAGCACACGTGCTTGTGTGTGTATGTGTGCTAAACTAAACTAATAAACAATTACTCACATAGTCAAAATAGAACACAAGTTTCCGTCCGTAAAACTCCGCTCTCTTCAGGTTGGGCACCAGCCCAGACTGGACGTAGTCTCGCAGAGTGTCGTTCATCACAATATAACCTGTAGGGATGTCCACCTCCAGCACTGCAAGGCCAGAGGTCAAGCTCCTCTCTGTAAACAGCCAGCTGTAGAGTACACAGGGAGAGAGAAAAGGAGTGAAAGATGAGTCAATTCAAATTCTAAAAAAATAGGAAACATGGTCGTATAAACATTCATTTAATCCCATACATTTTTCCAGCAGTTTCTAAACCCCTTTGTATTTTAGGCAGAGTTGTGACCTATATTTAGCAAAAAGCAAGCTAACTTTTAACCTCAGGCCCTAGCAGAAAGATCCTTCTAACAATTTTCCATTTTTCTTTGCTTCGCCTTGGAGCGAAAAAAGAATATCTACATACAGCAGTGTGAAGGAAGGGGAGTCAAACTTTCAATTAAAAACATACAGTCGTTAGTTTGGTATTCCGGACATGATCTATTAAGAGAATTTCTCTTTATGTTTAACGTATGGATATTGATATAAATTGTTCAAGAGATAGTCTGGTATCATCTGTTACAGACTACCACATTTCCTTACGAAAAATGTGCTGAGTCATCTGCAAAAGAGTACCGTAACTTACTGTCCCTGAAAAAAAACTTAAGTGCCACCAGTCTCTCTCTCTTGCCCTTTTTAACTCCCAGTGGAGCACAGGCCATCAACAACATTACTCCAGCGAAGCCTGTCCTAAGCATCCTTTTCTATCTGTCCTCCATCTTCCAGAACTGGCTGTCGTGTTGTTTTTGCTGTTGATGTTTTTGTAGCTGCTTTTTGTTTTACGGGAAAGGGCTGCTAACCCTTTGCCCAACCGACCTTAGTCACCTTGTACGACATGCGCGGTACGGATACAGTGGTCCTATTCTTTGCTCCCCTGTCTCTTGGACAGGGCCCCGAGAACCACACGGGTGAGTGCCACCAGTAACAGACTAGAAAACTGTCATCAATCTTTAACTCCATCTATAAGCACAGTCCTCACCTTGTGCCAATAGCGATATATATCTCCCTTGGGTATTCAAACCAACTATGCCTACACCGCAGCCCAGCATGATATCAACTGAACTAATTTCACATCAACTATTGGTTAACTTTTCATGATGCAACACAAAAGATGCTGTGTATCATGACACAGACACTGTATTACACAAAATTTATATTGTGACCGTTTATATCTTCGGGTTAATCAGCCACAACATGAAACACATAAAATAATCAGAAGAGAAAGAATCAATGCACATTAGCCTACCTCACACAATTTGTCATCTCCATGATAGAAGCATTGCGACCTCTGAATCTTAATGTATCCTCGATCTCAAAGAAATCCATGAGAGGCATGTCTATGGAGTTGTTGTAATGCATCTGAGTTTTTAGGAATCTGTCATATTCAACATTTACTGTCGTGGTGAGCTGCAATAAAAACAACAAAATATCTGGTATAAATACAATTATTTTCTGATACAAAGCACAGTCAAAATTATCTAAGAAGGACACCCATTGTCAAGGACAAAAGAGGCTGTCTTTGACAGGAGGCTATCTTTCTTCTTCTTCTTCTTCTTCTTCTTCTTCTTCTTCTTCTTCTTCTTCTTCTTCTTCTTCTTCTTCTTCTTCTTCTTCTGTCCTGTGGTTGGGGCAACCGTGGGGACACCACTGCATCTGACAACCAGCTCTCGCCATTTTTCTTTGTCCTCTGCTTTCCTCAGATTGTCATCCATCGCCTTTCCTGTCCACTCTGTAATGTTGTCCTCCCATCTCCTTCTCTGCCTTCCTCTCTTTCTCTTTCCTTGTACGGTTCCTTGTTGGATTGTTTTGGCAAGTCCAGGGGACCTAGTGACATGCCCATACCATTTTAATTTTCTTCTCTTCGCTGTGGTCAGTAAACCTTCATGCTGCCCCACTATGTTGGTTATTCTGTTCCTTACCTCACCATTTCAAATAAATGAGGCCTTTGTACGAGATGTCAAGGATTGTGCGGTAACATTTTATCTCTGTTGTCTGAATCCTATCTGGCTATCTTACACAGTGTTAATATAACATATGGAGTACACAATGGAGGAAATGGGAAGTGGCCGTTTGTACTGGTCATTGTCTTATACAGGTGGCCGTTAGAGTAGGCTCGACTGTATACAGTGCCTGAGGGTGCCTAAAATAAACTATCCACAAAAATGTCTACACAACAATTGCTTTCTTCATTAACTTTTCTGTCTTTGATTTGTTTAAAATGGATAAAATGAACTTTACTTAAACAGATACCTTGCCCTTGCCTGTTGATCTTAGAAGGACTCCATAGCAGGTTTGTATTTCAATAAAAGGTTTAATACCTTTGAATAAATAAAATTTCCCTGATTGTGAATAAACTTCCATAAAATATTTTTGTCATTGGTGAAATTTTCCTTCTACGACATCAATCATTCAAGTCTCACTGAAGTGAAAATCAAATTTTATCGGTTTATCCCCCCTTTCAAAACTGTAAGGTTATTTTAGAAGTACGACCCCCAAATTTACCATCAATCTTCCATGGGACAGAGCCAAATAAGTGGAGTATTTAAATCTTCCCAAAACAAATCATGTTCAGAACATACCGTCTGAGATTCGAACAAGGGCTATCTGCTCCACTTAAACAACATGTCTTGTTTATTGAATATTAAAACACTCCACAAATCAAAGAGTTAAAAAAAAGTAAAGTTGTTCCCGCATCCGATCCGGACATTGGGGATTGCCTTGCTAGAGAGACAACTTCCTGGGCCTTCGGCATACTGTGGTAGGGTGGCCAGTTTCTTTCCACACCGCCTTTACTTCCCCAACTCGTTGCAGAGACTCAACTTAAATTATTCAGTTAGTCTGAATATGTGAGGCAGCGTGGTGAAATCAGGCTCTCGTCAAAATAGTCAAAGTGTAGAAACTGGCATTTTTCCGCAGGCTTGGGAATTTTTTTGGAATTTTTATTTTTTGTCTCAACACCTTTCACGCCCTTTAAAGCACACATTTCTGTGTGGATTGTGCGGAAAAACTTTGATTTAAGGCATAAGAGATGTAAATTTTTAGTTTAGATGGGCTCTTAAGTTTAGAAAAAAACTCAACTTTGACGGTCATTTTCTCACTAATTTTATCTCTGAAACCAGGCCAACCCACCTCCTTCAATCACCAATATCTCGACTTCTATCCAAGATAAATAGATATTGTTATTATCAAAAGCAAGGCAAATGGACAAGCTTTAAGATGATACCAATAACTCCATATGCCCCGAAATTGACGAGAGCCTGATTCCACCGCGTCGTGACACATATAGTTGGTATCACTAGGATGGCCCGACAGATGAACTGAGCAGGACGGCCCAATTTATGACAGATACCAGACTTCAAGTGTGATGCGATTGAGAAGAAGAAGAAAGACTAGGATGGCCGATTTGAGAAGATTTTACCTGAAGCATTGCCCTCCCAGCTCCCTGAGCAGACGGGATGGTGTAGCCCCATACTTGGTTCATTGGCAGCTGAAAAGAAAATAAACCATTGCCAATTTCTCTTTACACACATGCACTGTCAGGTATATATTATTGCTGAATCCAGTTAAAGGAGATAAAAAAACATTCAGTAAAAGTCCACATCTTTTTAGACAACAAACATCCTTTGTTCCCTCAAATTAAAAGTATCAGTCAGAAGTAAAAGACCTTGGCTTCTGATCTGTAACAAAGAAAGATACAAAAGGTCATTTTTCCATCAAAATTCTTCCATCTTAAAACCATCTTGTTATAAGTATTCATATGACCTTAAAGCAATTATCAGAATAACATTGAGTATGTATCTAGCTTAAGATTATTATTGTTTATATTGCTCCTTATTTAAATTACGCATGTGATTGTAAGCCTGCGTGTGTGTGTGCATATTTGTGCATGCATGTGTGTGAGTGTGTGTTTGAGTGTGTGTGTGTGTGTGTGTGTGTGTGTGTGTG